GTGTAAGAATATACTATATATTACATATAACACGTGAAATGTGTTGACTATATTATTGGTAAAGTTTCTAGTAGTTAAGTTTTGGGGAGTCAAAGTTATATATGGATTTTCAATAGCATTGGTAGTTGGCACCCCTAACCCCTTCATTGTTGAAGGGTCAACTGTACATACCTGAATTTATAAAAATACTTTGTTGCTGAAAACTGTTATCTGAGCTTTCAGTGAGTCATAATCACCAATCAAGATAACCATTACATATATAATAATAATGAAAATATTGTGAGAATTGAAATATTGTGAGAATAATGAAAATGTGACATAGACATGAAGTGAGCATATGCTGTTGAAAAAATGGCATTGGTAGATTTGCTTGATGTGGGGTTACCACAAACATTCACTTTGTAAAAGATGCACAATCTGTGAAGTGTAATAAAGTGAAGTATGATAAAATGAGGGATGCCTGTAGTTAAGAAAATAGTCAAAAATCCAAGCCTTCATAGATCCTTAGAAATATTAGTGGTAAATGTAGTTTATGTAATATGGAGGAAGTCAGAAGTGGTAAAGTTTAGGATAATCAGGATACACTGTTAATATGTAATGATCGCATATTTAATAATTTAAAATTAGATTAAATGCACTTATGTTTCATGATAAAACTAAATATTAAGTGAGATTTATTCCAGGGATGCAAGGATAGTTCAATGTTTTCAAATCAATCAGTATGATACATCACATTAAAAAAAAAAAACTATACAAACACAGTTTAATCTCTTATTTACAGGAGACGTCTATTTTTAGGAGTTTCGTTTAGATGCAAAGTAGAAAGGCTTTAGGCTGGGAATTTTATAAGGATATGCTTGGGAATAGAATATAGAAGCACTTCATGGAAATCCTAGAATGGTAACTGTGATATGGATGGGGCTTCCAGAGACTAGAACCCAAAAGTCTTCATATCCAACCAAGTGTATTAGTTACCTATTGCTTTGTAACAATTTAATATCTATTTCACAGCTTCTGTGTATCAGGAATCTAAGCATGGCTTAGCTGGGTGCTTCCG